AGCTGCCCCTGACTGACCAAACCCCCCACGGTGTACGGCCCTGTGCTCTGTGACAGAGCTGGGTCGGAGCAGACGATGCGCGGGGACTGGCTGGGCGACGGGTAGTTAGAGGAGTGAAGTGGCTTTTCTTTTCCATTACTTATTTTTCATGTCTGGTTTGGTTTGTTTTTTTTTTCCCCTCTTCATTGGGTGCTTTTTCTTTCCTCCTTCTTAAAATTTTTTTTTTTTTTTTTTTAATTATTAAACTCTGTATCTCAGCCCATGAATTTTTGCACTTTTACCCTTCCTATTCTCTCTCCATCCCGCTGGGCGAGGAGTGAGCGAGTGGCTGCCCGGGCTTTGGTTGCCCACCAGGGGGCAAACACATGGCCAACCTAAAGTCAGATAGTGAGCTGGGCCATGCAGCTTAAGGAGCTAGACTTCTATGTATATAAATAAAATGGAGTATTTTTATAAGGACAAAAAAAAAACAAAACCCAAACTAACAGCCCCACAATAAATAATAGGTTTAAAGGATGACTTGAACTACACAAAGACAAAAAAAATCCCACATACAAGAGCATAGCTGGTTTATAAAGGAAAATTTTATTTTTAGTTATAAGGTGATTACAAACTCATCTAAAAAAAAAGCAAAGATTACTTAAAAATATCCATATACATTTTATTTATCTAAAAAGCAAAACAGAAACTGCAAAATACAAACATTTACCATATACACAAAGGCTAGGGGTTGTAGGATTAAATTACACTCCAGGATTTTTTTCAAATACAAACAGTCTGTTTTGGAACACACAAAAAATGTTTTAAAATGTTTTAAAAATATTTTAAAGTTTTTTTTTTAAAAAAAGTTCAGATGACATTTTTAAGGAGGCCATTGTTGCTGTCACCTCCTTGCTTTATGTGCTACTCATCACATTACTGTAGTCACAGTTGCTAGGAAGTTAAATAATAATAATAATAAAAAACCACCACTGTTTTTTTGCCAAATACACCAAACAAGATGGACCACCCCTTACAATGTGACATCCCTGGCAACGTTATCAGGTAACAATCACAACATTATACTGGAGAATAAAAACCAACATCCTATTGAAGAACGAGCACTTCAGAACAGTACTGGGATGCTGCAATGCTGAGAGACCATCGCTGGCTTCCAGGATAGGAGCAGGTGACAAAACTAACTCTACTTGCCCCCTCAGGACTTTTTTTTTCTGTTTTGTTTTTTTTTGTTTGTTTTGGTTTTTTTGTTTTGTGTTTTGTTTTTTGGGTTTTTTTTAGCCTCTCAACATGATTTT